AGTTAGCAACTTCAAATACAATTGCTCTTGCCCAATTTTTCTTCACAAGGCGACAGTCTGATTTTCAGTCATGATCATGGCAACTAAGGTAAATCTACCCATAATTTGCCTTCCCAATAATAAGCAGGATCTGTTAATAAATACGAATATAGCATGATATTGGCTATTTTCTTGTGACTAATTGCAAGAGTAGGCTGGCTTCACTGAAACTAAGGAAGAATAGATTTGACATATATCTACTTTTATAATGCAAAGACATAAAAAGTCATCGATTGTTATTAACATTAGCTCCAATGCATCATCACTGTTCAGGCTCCCCAAACTCCTCACTGGCCTCACTGCCTGTTTACTCCACCCATAGCATATGAATTAATGAACACATATACTGAAGTAGTGATATAATGTCTGCTATATGCTTAACACCCAGCAAACTTCATTACTGTCAGTTTGAATCCAAGTGAGCATGCAAAGATGACAATTGACGCCAACATCTCAGATTCTCAACTCTACATAGAAGGGCCAGCATTGTGGCCTAGCAGGTTAAGCAGCCACCTGCAGTGCCAGCATATGAGTGCTGGTTTGAAACCCAGCTGCTCCACTTCCCATCTAGCTCCCTGCTAATGTGCCTGGGAAAGCAGCAGAAGATGGCAGGATTGTGATGTCTGTGTTAATTTCACAATTTTCTCCCAAACTCTTTCACAAAGACTTCTTCAAATGCCCTATCCCTCCTCCCCCTATTCTGGATTTTTTATGTATATACTAGCTTTCATCAATGGCAGTTATTTTTTTAAGATTTACTTATTTATTTGAAAGTCAGAGTTATACAGAGAGAAGGAGAGGCAGAGAGAGAGAGAGAGATCCTCCATCTGCAAGTTCCTAATTTAAAAAATCAGATTTTCCTCAAGTCTTTAAATGCAAAAAATGAAATAAAATCATTTTATCTATAAATATAGCCAGTTTTATGTAAAATAAGAATGACAATTTTCAGGAGAATAATGTTTGCTCAACCACAGTAGAACAAACTGAATCCCATTTAAATTCTTCAACTTATATACTTAATGAATTTCTGTAAGTATTTAAAAGTACATTTGTTAGATAAGTATATGCTTTTAAGCTTTCTATATTTGACACATGAAATTATACATATTTGTATATGTATTTGGGGGTTCAGTGTGATAAGATGGTATATGAACAGAATGTCTAATGATCAACTCGAGGTAATCAACACTTCCATTTCCTTAAATATTTATTAGTTTCTTCTGTTGGGAACTTTTGAGCTCCTCTCTTCTAGTTCTTTACTTCTTTTGAAGAACTTTGAGTGCTTGATCAGGCAAGCACATAGCACCACGAGCAAATCCTTCAGCATTCATAAAAGTCTGTCTTACAAGCTGTGTGTGCACGTGCTTGCGTGTGTGAAGAGAGGGAACATTTAAGAGAGAGAGAGCAAGAGAAAGTTAATTTCAAGTTCTTTTAAGTATTCCAGTAGTCTTTTCAAATTTGGGAAAAGTCACTACTTCAACCTTCAAGTTAAAATCACGCAATTAATTTTTCAATTACCTTTTTAAAGCTGAAGTCCAGGGTTAAGCTTACAAATTCTATGAAATTCTCTTCAACATTGCAAACTATTCATATAACAAACATACAGGTTATGCTGAGTTCAGCACAAATGATTTAAACTATAGGCTCAGTTTCCTCATCGCCTGATGCCGTAATAATAAGATGAACTCAAGAGCTATGTATCAAAGGCCAGACTCTTTTCAAGCAGTGCTGGGCATGGACAGAAACTATGTATGAAGGGTCTTTAAATTTTTGTAGGAAAAAAATTGGAATTAAGGGATAGGTGTATTTTGGTGTAAAACATTTTGAAATCCCTGCATAGTTTTTTTCGTACGACATATTTTCCATGAACTTTTTGAAGACCACTTTATATTAGGCCATTAAAAAAAACTTCAATAAGTTCTACAGAGCAGAGTTAAACAGGCCATGTTATAAAATGAGAATATAATACAACTCAAAAATGAATAACAGGAAGGCATGGAAGAAACCTCTTGATTTGGAGATTTAAAAACACTTTCCTGAATGAATATGTAAATGAATATGTAAAATGAAAACTGTAAAATATTTTAATAATAATACTTGATACCCATATATAATAACTGACAATATCCCTCACTGAATCTCTGTTGCAGTCATCCACTTTTGGCCAATCATCTGCATTCATAATCACTTTAATAACTGGCTCACCACTTCCCATTCTATCACTTCTTCTCATCCTTCTTAATGCATTTCTTGACTTCCTCAATTGCAAGGATGGCTTTTCCCACAGCTAGAGAAGGAGTATTCATATTAATTTTCATTGGAAATATATTACTAGAGTATCTTTATAGTATTATATCACTCATCTCATAGTAAAAGTGCTCTACTAAAATATAATTTTCCCCAGAAACCTTTTATTTAAGGAATACAAACTTCATACATTTCATAATTACAACTTTAGGAAGATGGTGATTCTGCCCATGAACCTGCCCTCTCAACCATACTCCCACCCCCCTTCTTCCTTCCTCTCCTATTCCCATTCTTATTTTGTGCTAAGATCTATTTTCAATTAACTTTATACACATATGATTAAGTTAATCAACTTAACATAAAATATAGTTTAAATAGGTCTCGAGCCGGCACCGTGGCTCAATAGGCTAATCCTCCACCTTGCGGCGCCGGCACACCGGGTTCTAGTCCCGGTTGGGGTGCCGGATTCTGTCCCGGTTGCCCCTCTTCCAGGCCAGCTCTCTGCTATGGCCAGGGAGTGCAGTGGAGGATGGCCCAGGTGCTTGGGCCCTGCACCCCATGGGAGACCAGGAAAAGCACCTGGCTCCTGGCTCCTGCCAGGATCAGCGCGGTGCGCCGGCTGCAGCGGCGGCCATTGGAGGGTGAACCAGCGGCAAAGGAAGACCTTTCTCTCTCTGTCTCTCTCTCACTGTCCACTCTGCCTGTCAAAAAAAAAAAAAAAAAATAGGTCTTATTAGTGTGCCTAACTCTGTCATCGTTCTAATTACTCTATTTTGGTGCTAGCTGCTGAAGGTACAAGTATTCTTTCAATAGTGAAATATAATGGAATTACATACTGAAGTGTAACTGAAAAGTTTCTTAACAATCATTTAAAATGCACTACAAACTTTCTATGCAAAGCAGGTATTTAGTCTAGTAATTAAGATAATTGCAACCCACATTGGAATGACCAGGTTCAATTCCTGGCTCTGGCTCCTGACTCCAGCATCCCGCTAATACAGACCCTGGGAAGCAGCGATTCTAGTTCAAGCATTTGGGTTCTTTTCACCCATGCGGGAGACAGAGATTGTGTTTCTGGCTTCTGGCTTTGGCTCTGGCCCAGTCTCTGCCATTTCAGGCATTCAGGGAGTGAACCGATGGATTGGAGTGTGTTCTCTCTCTCTCTCTCTCTCTCTCTCTCTCTACCTGTCTCCATCTCTTTTACATTTCTCTGCCTCTAAAATAAGTGAATAAAAATTTTTCAGAGATGACTCTTCTACCTGCAACTTCTGGTCCAGATTCTAAAAAGAAAATAAAAGCACCCAGGAGTAAAATGTAGTGTCATGTCTGTATCAGAAAAGTAATTCCTAGAAGTAAATTCTTTCCCATTTGACAATAAACTTTTCTTCAAAAAAAAAAAAAAAAGAAAAGAAATTCTTGTAGAGCAGGTGTTGTGACATAGTAGATTAAGTTCCTGCTTGGGACACCTACAACCTACATGGACGTTCTCATTTGAGTCCGAGCTACTCTATTTCCAATCCAGCTTCCTGCTAATACATCCTGGGAGGTAGCAGATGATGAATTAAGTGCTTGGGCCCCTGCCATCTATGTGGGAGTTCCAAACTCCTGGCTTCAGCCTGGTCTGGCCCTGGCTGTTGCGAGTATTTGGGGAGTGAACCAGCAGATGGAAGATATATTTCTCTCTCTCTCTCTCTGTCTCTCCCTCCCTCCTTACCTCCCTCCCTTTCTCTCTCTCTTTCAAGTAAATGAAAACAATTTTTTAAAGATTTATTTATGTATTTGACAGGCAGTTACAGAGAGAGAGAGAGAGGTCTTCCAACCACTGGTTCACTCCCCAAATGGCTGTAACGGCTGGAGCTGGGCCAATACAAATCCAGGAGCTAGGAGCTTCTTCCCAGTCTCCCACATGGGTGCACCAAGCTCTCAGGCCATCTTCCACTGCTTTACCAGGCCATTAGTAGGGAACTGGATCAGAAGTGGAGCAGCCAGGACACAAACCAGCACCCATATGGGATAACAACACTGCAGGTGGAGCCTTAACATACTATACCACAGCACCACCCCCAATAAATCATTTTTGAAAAGATAGAAATTCATTCATGTCTCACAGGCTAATAGATTACCATCCTTGTTCCAAAAATGCTGCCCCCAAAAAACCTGGAATTCAACGGAAGAAAAAAGAAAGAGTGGATGTTTGGTAGATAGTCATTTGTATCCAAAATACTGAGCGTTGAAAGAAGGGAGAAAATTCTCAGCCAGCGTTATTTCAAGAGGCTTCATGGAAGAAACAAAACAAAAGCTACTCCATAAAAAACAGCAAGATTGGGGCCAGCACTGTGGTATAGCAAGTTAAACCACCACCTGCAATGCCAGCATCCCATAAGGGTGCTGGCTACTCCACTTCCAATTCTGTACCCTGCTAATGTGCCTGGGAAAGCAGCAAAAGATAGCCCAAGTCCTTGAGCCCCTGCACCCGTGTTAGAGACCTGGAAAAAACTCCAGGCTGATAGCTTTGTCCTGGCCATAGCCGCCATTTGGGCAGTGAACCAGCGAACAGAAGGTTTCTCTCTCTCTCGCCTCTCGCCTCTCTCTCTCTTTTTCTCTCTCTCTCTCTCTCCTCTCTCTGTAACTCTGCCTTTTAAATAAATAAAGAATAAAGTTTTAAAAATATGGCAAGGGTTAGACATTCAGAAAAAGGAGAGTACTCTAACAGTATGGACACAGTGGAAGGTAGGTTTGGATAATGAACATGACCTATTCAGAGAACAGGTTAAAGTGGAGGCAATGCTGGGAGCAATGAAAGAAGACTGAACCAGTGGAGTTAAGTCCAAGCAATAGAACCTCTTGACAGAAAGCCTTTATACTTGACACAGAGCACATTAGGAGCAACTAGAAGCTTTGAAGCAAGAGGAAGAATGTACTTAGCTAATGGTTTAAGAGGGCTTACTATGGTTCCAGAACGTGGTATAGATTAAAACTTCCTTATGAAGTCACTGAATAGCATTCAAGTGCTTTCACTGCAACAATTACAGTTGTTGCCCAATAGGTCTCAGAGTTTTCCTCATGTAGTATTTCCTGACTAATGGTTCACAAGCTGGCAATCGTCCATGACATGCTCTCTGATCCTCCCAGAAAATGTGCTGTCCATTCTGGAGACTTCACTAACAATTACCATCAGAAGAACAGTGTCACTACAGTTTTCAACGTATAGGTTGCTCTCTACCTTAGATTATGGCAGCTGAGCTAGTGAGAAGGAGGTAGAACTAGTGGTTTTTTAAAAGTAGGCCATTTTTGTTTTGGTCAACATGTTCAGAGTTAAAGTGCTGACATCATCCATGTGTGGAGAAGTGTGTGAAGACTAATTTTTATGCCAGTGTCCTTTTCAAACACTGTGCACCCAAGGTCTGGTGTAATGGCCTGTCTGACTCACCCGCCACTTCTTCCCTCATCCTTCCACTCCCCATCCCTGGGGCAACTCGGATTTCTGCTGCAGGCTGGGATTTAGCCCCACCCCCAGCTTGGGGACCAATCTTCCTTCCTTCTATTAGGGGAGAAATTCTGAAACCTTAATCAAGCAGCTCAGGGACTCAGCAACCCAGAATGAAGTCAGCCTGGCTTCTAGAGGGGTTCATCTTTGAAACCCTTCCCCTTCTGCTCTGCCCTTGTTGAATACTCTGTTGTGACACCCAACCCCGTGACTTCTTCCTTTGCAGCTGAGGCCTTACCCAGTGCTCCTGAAGACCCATGACCTATCCTTGGCCATGGCCCATGACCCATCCCATGCACCCTCTGCCAAGTCTTCCTGATGCTTCCTATTTCCTGTTGACAGTTCCAGTTATTGCTGGTTACCGAATCCCAAGGAACTCACCTGCCAGAATTTATTTCCTGACCTCATATCACTCACAGTTCTGTGGTCTCCTGAGTTAAGCCAGAGAGAAAATAGACCACACCCTAATTCAGACTTCTCTTTTGCTTTTACAAGTATTCTTATGGCAGGGCCAGTCGATCAGTATTTTGTTTGCAGGAGGATTTTCTAAAAGATCTATTTATTTATTTGAAAGGCAGAGTTAAGGGGAGGGGAGAGAGAAGGAGAAAGAGAAGGTTAACTACCCAAATGGTTCTGCAGGTTCACTCCCCAAATGGCTACAACAGCCAGGTCCGGGCCAGAACCTGGGAATTCCATCCAAATCTCCCACATGAATGGAAGAGGCTCAAGCACTTGGGCTATCTTCTGCTGCCTTTCCAAGCACATTAGCAGGGAGCTGGATCAGAAGCAGAGCGGCTGGGATAGGAACCTCAGTGCTCATATAAAATGTGGAAGTAGCAGGCAGTGGCTTAACCTGGTGTGCCACAACACTGGCCCCAGAAGGATTAATTTTTTACCAAAATATTAATGTATTTTTATTCTTTATATTTTTCTTTCCCCTATCATTCCAAATGGATGACCAGGCACTTAGCATTTCCTTGACCTAGAGAATTTTACTGAGAAAGTAGAAGCTGCTTATAAACATGTTATGTTTTGTTTTAAATCTTAGTGAAATGTTTATACTAAAGAAACTAAATTAGAAGAAATAAATGTGTACATACTCTATCAAAGTAAAAGGGATGGAGACCCAGACCCACATCAAGGGAGTATCCCTACAAGTTCACAAGACCACTAAGGGGTGACTGTATGAATTACCAAGAAACCCCAGATCAGGAAACCCCAATGCCTTAAAGTAGTGCACCCCAAGTGGACAGATGGGGCCCAGCTGTAGAACTGAAACTGCCATCCCTGTGTGAGACTTGGACTAAGCTCACAGCTCCTGCCTCGGCTTGGCCCAGCTCTGGCTATTGCAGGCATTTGGGGACTGAATTAGCAGATGGATCTGCCTCTGTGTCTCTCTTTTCTTGTATTTCAAATAAAATTTTAAATTTTTCTTTAAAGAAACTCAGCTTGGGGCAGGCATTGTGGCATAGCAGGCAAAGCTGCTGCCTGCAACACCAGCATCCCATATGGGTGCCAGTTCATATCCTGGCTGTTCCATTTCTAATGCATCTCCCTGCTAATGGACTCAGAATAGCAGCAGAATATGGCCCACGTGTTTGGGTCCCTTCCACTCATGGAAGAAACCTGGAAGAAGCTCCTAGCTCCTGACTTGGGTCTGACCCAGTCCTGGCTGTAATGGCCATCTGGGGAAGGAACCAGCAGATGGCAGCTCTCTGTCTTTGTCTCTCCCTGTCTCTGTAACTCTTTCAAATAAATAAATCTTAAAAAAAAAAAGGATTAAACTTGATGTTTTAATATAATTCCAGAGAACATAAATAAAATTAAATATGGGCGCTACCTTTGAGAAATTTCAAGACAAATATAGAAAATAAGACAAGGTCACCAATGTAAATAAATATATATATAATACACAACACAGTAACAATACAACATAATATCTGTGTTATTAAAGATGTTTAAAAAGTTACCCCTGGATCAGCAACAGCTTCAATAAACTGATACAGCTTACACAGGTGCACACAGTCAAGCTGGGAAACAACTACCATATTTAAGCAACATTCCATGGGAAGTTCAGTTGTCTGGAAGTTCCCATGCCGACAGTGCCATGGGGAGTGATAATGGAAGAAGTGAAGCAGGACATGCAGAGCTCTGTTCTGCCGAGAGGGTGAACAGAGTGTGCAAAGTGGTTAGAACTGTGTTCACACAATGTGCAAGGCCAATTCCCTACAGCAGAGCCACCTGCACTGTGTCAAGAGTTACATCGGACATAAACCCAAAAGAACAGTCTTTTATCCCATGGATAACACATGGCAGGATCAGGCCCTCTAAAATAAGATTGACATCAATTCAGCTGTGAGATCTTCAATCTGACCTAGGAAAGTTAGACTTAGCAAAAATATGTGTCAAAAGGAGTTAAAAATTGCAACCGGAAGAAACCATATATGGCATTACTAGTTATAGACAAAACATTAATCAGTGAAAGAAAGTTTTTTGCAAGGTATTCACACACAGGAAAAATGATCTCTACAAAAATAGGAGAAAAAAGGATGAAAATGGAAATACCAGAAATAGTTTCACTGTATCCTACAGAAAATTAATCAGAAATCAAATTGATTCAGTGCAGTTCACTACAGAAAAAAAATAATTTTCCGAGCCCCCCTCCCAAAAAAAACCACTGTATCACTGTGAAATGACTGATAAAATTCTCCACACACTAGCACTTCAGTGAGAATAGAAGCATCATCTTAAAGATAGGGACTTTGTTTTATCGACTGCTCAATCATCAGTGCTTAACCCAGGATTGGTCTTGTTCTCAGGCTCACTTTTCCATTTTATTTTATACAGCCTGTTTAAGAATGATTTATTGAGAACTCAGTGGCTAACAAGTTTTCCCTAGGTGTGCTGGACAGAGCTATGAACAAGCTATCGCCTACCCTTGACTGCCAAGCTCTCACCATATCTCAGGATCTCACTGGGAAATCTTCCAGGCATGCTTTGATTCCTGGAGAAATCTACTAGATCTCCAATTCCATTTTACATTCCTTCAGATCTCAGCAAAGGAAGACTCAAGTCACCTTCTCTACCTCAAGTGTTATGACTGGCAATGTGGAGAAAAGCTTCATAATTGATATGGTATTTTCCAAAATATCTTTGTGAAAATAATAAAACTGGTAGCATTTTTCCATCATTTTTCTCTCACTCTAGAATCATTAGATACAACTGTGTATCAAATTATTCTGATCCCCAAATTTGTGTTGGAAAATGACTCCATTTACAACAGTTAAACAAGAATTCAGAAGTCCAGTCCAACCTTGCTAAAACTGTACATAATTACCAATTACCCAATTACCCAACCCATTCAGAAAATCATGATCCTAACTGCTTATAACTGTATCTTTTTTTAAAAAAAAAAAAAAGATGTATTTACTTATTTGAAAGGCAGAGTTACAAAAGGGGCAGAGGCAGAGAGAGAGCAAGCTAGAGAGAGGGGGAGGGGAGATCTTCCATCCATTGGTTCACTACCCAAATGGCTGTAATGGCCAGAGCTGGGCCATTCCAAAGCCAGGATTTGGGAGCTTCCTCTCGGTCTCCTGCATGGATGCAGAGGCTCAAGGACTTGGGCCATCTTCTACTGCTTTCCCAAGCCATAGCAGAGAGCTAGATGGGAAGTGGAGCAGCTGGGGCTCAAACCACTGTCCATATGGGATGCCGGTACTGCAGGTGGCAGCCTTACCTGCTATGCCACAGTGCTGCCCCATAACTTTGTATTTTGTTATTTAAAGCAATTACATTTTTTTAATCATTTAAATCAAGATAGTGGCAGACCCTTGGTCCAATGGTTCAGACTGGGACGCCTGTGTCCCACATAAGAGTGCCTGGGTTTGATTCGCAGCCCTTGACTCCAGCTTCCTGCTAGTACAGATGGCGGGAGTAGTAGTAGGTGATGGCTCAACTACTTGAGTCCCGTCACCCACATTGGAGACCTGGATTGAGTCCCCAGCTCCCAGCTTCAGCCCAGACCAGCCTAGGCTGTTGTGAACACTTTAGGAATGAGCCAATGGATGGGAGTTTGCTTTCACTCTTTCTCTTTCTCTCCCTATCTCTCAAATATGTAAATATTTTAAAATGAGTTTGAAATCAAGGTATTCCTTTTTCATCTTTCCACATATTTACAAAATGTTTTTTTCACCTTGTCTATTAAAATATAATTCCTGCGGCCGGCGCCGTGGCTCAATAGGCT